TGTAAAGTTGTAATTATTTTAATTATTTTTATTTCCAAACTGATTTTAACCAGTTCTATAGTAAGGTAACATTCCAATAGACAATATGCAAAGCTTTTTTTTCAGTTTACAGCAGTATTTATTACACAAAATTTATGTAAAGCTTAACATGCCGATCTTGCCCCGATCTCCCCTATATATATAATACTTTTTAATTTTTGTTTAAATTAGTGTTTTATTAATGTTATATTATGCATGTTAGTAAAACATGAATTACAATTATAACAGTTTATATTAAAGAATGGGCCTAATAAAATTTTCGAATCAACTTTCATAATATTATTTCTTTAAAAAAATATATTTTTTACTGTTATTCTCTTCATGTAGGCCTAAATATACTGTATTTTGCTATAGTGCTATAAGTTAAAAACTCATTTTGAAATAAAATTCCTCCTAAAATAGAATATGTCGTTTTTCTACGTACTATAATAATTGTTATTTCTGCAGTTTTTTTAGTTTTGCGGGAAAAGCAATAAAATTTAATGAACCGTAAAAATGTATTTGCTAATTGTTCTGTATAGACTACAATATTTCGGTTTAGAAATCTTATTTCTTACCTAATAATTTTTTCTTCGCTTTTTTTTTTAATATAGAATAAGTGAAAGTAGATTTTTCGGGAAGGAAAAATTTCGAATTTTTTAAAATTTGATATCAATTATAATTATTATGAAAAATAAAATATGTAGGTTTGATCGAATATAAACACTTATCCTAAAAAATGAAGAACATGATAAAATTTTAATTAGATATTTATTGATATATACTCATAAGGTTTTTAAAAAATTGTTTTAGATATAGGCCTATATATTGAATTTCACTTTAACGAAATCGAAGCGTTTAAAAACAAAAATGCAGTTGGATATTTTATTAGAAAGTGGTTGTAAGTCAATGTACAGTACTTATTGATTGAAAGCGAAGAGACCATTCACTCGAAGAAAAGATCAAAGGCATGCAAGTGGAATAAAGTTGTCTTGACGATTGATTGACTGAAAGCGCTTATCTATCATAATGCAAATCAATTCGGTAGATCTGTAATGCATTCTTATATTTGTGAAACTATTCTCTCATACGCTTTATAACAACAAATATTGTATGGCGTATGAATATGTTTGAATATTATTAAACTTCCACAACAATAGATTTATGTTTATTTAGCTTAAAGTTTGCTTACACTGCATCTAATGTTTAGAAATTTAGTTACGGTAAGCCTAGATAAAGTAAATCACGTTACTTTAAAGTAATAAACGCACGACGAATCACTTATGTAATGTTTCGTGCGTTTTTTTGAATAAAATCGTAGGCCTAAACGAAGAAGTTATCTCATAATGTTTTTTCAATTTAATTTTACACATTTAGAAAAAAAAAGAGTTTAAAAAATATATGTTTTTTATAAATTATATTCTTTTTATGTGTTTAAAATATAAATTTTATTTAAAATAATAAAATTTTTCTTGTTATAATCGAGCATTGACACATTTAAAACATTGAAAATTTAAAATAAATAAATACTTTAAAATATAAACTGTATTTTTAATATCTATTATTAAAATTACTTTAATTTATTAAATTTTTTATATAGATTTAATAATAATGGATGATGATATTGATATGTTTACGTGAAATTCGTTGAGATTTACACAAGGCCTATGAAGAAAGATAGCAATAGTCCTGAAGACATTACATATGCCATAATCTTATTGGATCGAAAATCTAAATACGAAAAATCGATTCGAAACCAATTAAGATATTTTTTATATCTAGTTGATGAGTTTTCATTAAAATTTTTAGTGTCAGTAATAACTGGAGACAATCGTTAATTGTTACTTAATTGGTTTTGCTAAGAGCATAGACTGATGAACAGGTTCAGACTATTCATTAAACACGTCTAATAAATTAAATAGTTCAGAACCAATTTATCTAAGCCATTAGTGAAATATTCATTTGAAAAATTCAATATAGTGCATAAATCCCGTATAGCGAAAATTATGCTAAACACCTAAATATCGATTAATAAACAAAAAAGCATAAAGTTAATGAATAAAATCAATTCGGAAATTAATAATTGTCATTTATTGATATCAGACAATCATCTGTTGACATAATCAAATTGATTATAAAATAATAGACGAAGCTCTTGGCATAAACCAAACATATCACTTATGCGATGATTAATTAGAATATCAGTGTTTTCATCACAACTTTTTCTTTGCGAAACTAAATATTAAGTTAAAATAATTAATTTTAAAAATTCCAAATATTATACATTTCAATAAAAAACTAACATGCTTAAAATTCTATACAATTCAATATACGAATCGAAAAACAATCTGCAAATTCTTATTTGAGTCTGTTTCTTGGATAAATAATTCTTGCTTTTATGTAATCACTTTATTATAAATTTAAGATTATCAACTTCAATTAAATCTGTTTAATTTAAGATTATTTTATTTCAACTTTATAAATATTGCAATAGCTATAATGGTTTAAATGAAAATAGATGCTGGCTGAAGAAACGGCATAAGAAAAATAAGGACAAGTCAACCGAAGAGCTAATTAGAACTATGCTATTTCAGTAGTTTATTTAATTTCAAATATTAAAAATAACTTAGATTTAATGTTAAATGATTAAATATTAAACGACAGAAATATTTTTCAATAGAATTTTAATTAAATTTAACAAGACAAACGCTTATTTTAGGATTAATTATGATAATTGCGTAAAAAATATTTAAACAGAAAATCGAAAAGTTGTATTGAAAAAACATTTTACCATAAAATTATAGATCTTTTTGTTATTGGATTGATGCTTATCGCTAAAATCTAAAACAAGAAAAATTATGTATATAACATGTTTATCGAGTTCACAACTGTTATAATTAAAATATTGCATAAAATATATCAAGCGAATTTATTATAATTTATGCTGAAACTGCAGATATTTTATATGCCGCTCCCGTAATGTTTCATTCGTTTAATTTATTCTGCTATGGATAATGACTGATTTTGAATTATAAATAGCTATGTAAATATCCGTTTGTAATTCCGCTTATATATTCAGCCTAACTAAAACTTAATTTATATTCAGATTGAAATCATAATAGGCTATATCATAAAAATATTTAACTTATCATAGATTATGCTTATCGAATTGGAAATATCTTGCAAATTCTATAAATATTGACATGGTTTTCAATTTTAAATTATAGAACTATACGGAAAATTAGTATCGAATATAGAATAAATTTTTTGAAGTATTTATATTATAAAAACGTAAAATTGTAATATAATTTCAATTAACTATAAATATAGAATGAATTCTTCTTCTCCAATTTTTTCTTAGTTGTTTTCTATATTTGAATATCTACATTTATCGCAGATATTTAGCTCAATTGTAAACACTATATTCATATGAATTTTGTTTCTATCTGCATTCTTACTTTTTTTGGCAAGTTTTTTCCTCCAAGAAGTCTTTATCTCAAATTATGTTTCTCCATATGTCAAGATCTCTTTCCTCTATAATTTGAGAGTATAGCTTATATGAATTTTGATATCGACATCTCGAAGATTTTTTACAAGCTATTCTTAAGGAATTAAAAGTTATTTTGTGCGAATGTATTTTACTTTATTTTATTTTTAAACCAATCTTTTGAAAAATTGATACCGTACTTAAGTTTATTACTATAAAATTTAACAGATTTATTTTAGTTATTTTATGTTCGATTCCGAATTCAAAATGCATTTATTGAAAATTATAGAATCTACTTTTTAAATGTTTAATTTTATGAGAGTGTTTTTTAAAACATTTTTTGTAAATTAATCTAAAATTTTGAGTTCCTATGCAATACATTATTTCTTTAAACTTTATAAAATATTTTTGTTAGAATTTTTTTTCTTTTTAATCTTAATGTTTATAGATAAATTAACATTACAGAAATAAAATAGCTGAGAAATCAAGGAAAATGAAAATAGAGAAAAATGAAGAGAAAAATTGATCTTTAAATGAAGTTTTAAGCCACTTAACTTATCTAAAAATTTTAATACGCGCTTTTTAAATACAAACATGACAATTAACAAAAAAAATTAATAAAAACTGCCGAACAAGATTTTGTCAATTAAGCTTTCAAGTTGGTATAAGATAGCTTAAAAACAAATTAGACGACTTTTTAAAATCTTAAATTCCTTCATGCTTATCATATTTTTCCGTTTTTCATTCTTTCTCAGATCATTTTTTACTAGTGAAAATATTATCCAGAAGTATCCGGAATTTAATCTTAATATCTGACAGGAAGGCCCATTAAATAATTTCGGGCTTCTCAAATAATTTTATATTTTTCACTAAGATAAAGCAAAGTCTATTCAAAATGATATGAAACCATAATGAATTAAAAGAAGAGAAAATCTAATATTAAAAACGTATTTATATATAAGTGCAGACACAAGAATTTTTTTNGAACAACTGAGAAAATGGAGTCAAAGCAGGAAAAACTCTTCTATTTGGTATTCCAATGGTATGGTGGGAACCAATGAGTCATTAAGCATGTTGTTTTTGTTTGAATATAGTGGATACAATAGCAAAAACAAAGGATATTGTCTATCCAACAGCACTCTCTGCTATCAGACTTGTATATGTTCCTGATTTACCCATACCATCATCTACATCATTAGATATTTTGTCAGGATAAGAAGTTAAGCTATACTGCAGTGAACTGGTGATATGTATAGCAATCCTGAAACAGATAATGAACCACAGAAATTTACACAAAGCAAAAATTATTTTCGTAGAAATGTTTTTTTTATATATTCAAAAACACAATGCTTTGCAAAATATAAAGTAAATAATAAAAGAATGCAGGGTTATCGTCTTTTAATATATGGAGTTTGAATGTAAAGTGAAGTGGAATAAACTTATTTGTTAAAACGTACATCAGAAATTCTGCCAAATTCCAACGAATCATTTCGTTATAAAGAATAAAATGCTGGTAAAAGAGACAGCCAAATTTATTTTATTCGAAACGAATTAAATGTAGGCTCAATATTCTAAATTTTAACGAATTTTCTGTATTATGTCTCTCTGCTTAGTTATTTTTTAAAACATATTTATTTTATTTATAATTTATTTTGTTACATCTCAATTATAAAGAACAAAATTTGATTTAATGCATGAAATAAGTGATTTGCATTTGAAAATAAATTCTAGTCTACGTATTAAAGAAAAATAGCTCTTTATAAAATTTAAAAATATTCTTATTATTCTGCACGTTTCTATGTATTCAGAACACTAATATTCAGTTACGAAATCCTTTTACTTTTTTTTCATTTTGCATTTTTATAGTCGAAGAAAAGTGTTTTGAAGTAGTAGAGTGCCTATGGAATTTGATATTGGATTCTAAGGAAAATTGCAGAAAGAGCAGTTGATATTTGTCAAAAAGATTTTATCTATTTGTCTTTCGTCTCTGACTTTTATACATAAATTTTTACTTTACATTGGATAAATTTTGTATGCTTTAGTTTTTGTAGATAGGAATGTTTGTTTGTCTAACTAGCTAATTAAAACAACTTACAACTATTAAAAATACTAACTATAAAGCTTCAATTCATAATTTAATAGTCTATATTTGTTTCTCTACAAATACAAATCGGATACAAAGATATCTGAAAACGTCAGCGTGTAATTTTATCAAGAGCTAACTTTTAATCACTATTTAAGTCATATTTGTTGGATTTAATGTGCCCTTTATCCATAAATCTATTATTATTTTTTTAAAGAGATATTGAGCATATTTAAAATTGAAAAAAAACTGTATAAAAATGTGAAGGCCTTTCTTTTTTACTTCATTATTTTANTATATTTGATGTTTATCGCATAATTATTTATTTATAAAATAAATATAATATAATAAACAAGAGAAAGCGATTCGAAACTTAAATATCTAAAAGTTACATAATTTTATAAATATAATTTCAAACTAACGCTCTGATTTAGTTAAACCACAGAAAAGCTAATGGCCTCGCTGCTGCACGGAATGTAAGACCTCCCAATATAACAGCAGCTGACATACCACCAAACCATTGTGCCGATTTTATGACAAAGAAACTTTATCACACTGTAAATCATTTGTCTGATAGTTTTGTTAAGATGAAAAAAGAATAGTATAGCTCTTGGGAACTTACTATAGACCAGCAATACTTATGAAGCACTCAATGTAAACTCGACTAAATTTATGCTCACTTTATATTTTGATTGATAACTTTCTATATTTAGAAATGCACTGCTAGCAAAACCCACTTACTTTAAAATTACATTAAGAATTTTGTATTGTTTTTTCCTATTCGAGCTTCACGTTCCATGTGTTCTGATTAGGAATTAAGAATGTTAATTTGAAGAGAAAATGTCTTCATATATCTTAGTTCAATTCTTCTGATAACTTACTGAATAATTAGAAAGAGTTCAAATAATGATTTATTATCTTCTATTTTAGTGTCGTACCTGAAAAAGTTATAAATACCACCACAAACTTTTATTCTATATTTAATAAAAGTTATGTTGTTGCGAGTCATTAAAACTGCCTCTGGAATCTTTTTCCCCCTCATATAAGAAAGAGAAATAAATTCATTAATCATAAAATATGTTTAATCAAATAAATGCTACACCCTCATCTTTTATGGGAATATCTCGCATTAGCATACCTTCTATTTTCAGTGTAGAAGGCATAAAAAAGTGAGCATGCCCTGTACTTGATATCGGAAACAAGATTAAAGCGTTTATTACATCTCCTTCTTGCTGGATATTGGAAGAGTCTGTTCAATTTCGCAGACAGACCGTATCTGTCCATCGATCCAGCTGCTGTTATTAGACACAGAGGCAGTTGATTGGCGCTTTCTCGTCCGTTCTTCCTCCCCACTTCACCCCTTTTCATTAGGAAAGCCATCCAGAAACTGGTTGGATGTCGATCAACGCTTATTGCGCAAACTCACAGCAGTGAATCAGTCCCTGAGGCATGTCAACGATTCTTTCTCTCATTCATTGATGGCTATCGTGTTTTTGATAATAGATGGAACTCGAAACGAGTTCCGAAACAAAGTAAAAGTTAGTAATGTGTGTTTTATTTGTCTTATAAAGCTTTACTAGAAAAATTAAATGCAGCCTAGATATTTTTTATTGATATACCAAAGTCCTAAGAGAATAGTATACTAGTTAATTGTCTATAGAAACATATTGAAAACTGTTTATATACATTAATATAGATGCATAAATAAAATCAACTACTTTTATTTGAAATTAATAAAGTTAATAAAATCACTAATGTATAATAAATAATTATAGTCTGCTGTAATATAGGCCTAAGGCTTAATTTTCTTTGACTATTAAAATTTGAAATTATTTAAAATTTAATTTATTATCTTTCATAAAAAAATAAGTTTAGAAACATGTGAATGACGATGTATCTTTATCCAATCAGATCACAACAATGGTGGGTACATGTATGAGTTCTACAAGCTGCAGTCAATACATGCTCCTCGATCGTACCGGTGAATCTGCACATCAGCCTTGCAATGAGTATGTTTGAACAACTATCTTCGGTATGTGACGTTATGAGAAAATTTTACCAGAAAATTTCAATTTTTTTTTCCGCAAATCTTTTCCTTTCTTTAGAAAGTAAAGAAAAAAAAAAGGAAATTGTTAAACACAAAACACACTCAAAACGAAGGGAAAAAATCTTTGAAATTTTAACTTATTCTTTTAGAATAATGATTATTTATAAACATTATTAATTTACATTTTTATATTTTTAAGGCTTGTTTTTTTTTATTTTATGATTCTCGACGATATCATAGATTATTGAAACATGTTAACATTTTTTTATGTTAAATATTCTGAATGTATTCGAGATATAAATGAATGTAAATAATAAAAGTAGAGCGGGAAAAAATAATGGAAATAATTCTTAACATGGAATGAACGAATTTTCCCAAGCGATTTTCTGGTAAATGTTCGAGTCATGGCGTCACATGCATTTTTGTTTCCGGTGGTGGGTGGGCCCAACTAACAAGCTGTCAATGAGGGTGTGGTCGGAAAACTGATAGCATTAACCACTTTTATAAAACTATTGGTAAACATCTTTCTTTCACAACAGGCTTAACTTTTTTTTTTGTATGGTGATGGCTTCTCATTTTTTCCTTTTTAATGTAAGAATATTCTCAAATTGAATACATTAAATAATAACTTAACTTCACTAACAGAAACAATGATTTAATAAATCTCATAAATTATTAAACTTTTAATGTGTCGTAATTAACCATTTTTATTTTGTTTCCGATTTCGAAAAATTTAATAAGAAATAATTTAAAATATACATGATGCTTATTTATTTTAGAAAGATAAAATTTAGCTTTCATTTAGTATAACTAACTGAATATTTTAGAACAATAGCAATTTTATCGTATCTGATTTTGTGTTGTTCATGTGTCATTTAGAAGCACGGACTCTATATAAAATTGCATTCATCGCTTATGCAGATAAAAGCTAATTGTATTATAGATAACTTCCTTTTTAAAAAATGTGTTGAGATAAAAGTATTATACATTCGCATATTCGTATCCATGCAGCATAAAAAAATAATGATAATTTTGGGATGATATTTAGACTTAATCAATTTAGCTACATCATTTCAAGCATGAAAATAATGGGAAGAATGTGTCATCACTCCATGAATAGCTCGTCTTACAAGATGTACAACAGTTTCGCTAGAAATACAGTAATGATTCTTTCAAAAAAATTCCTGTTTTCTGCCTGCATTTATTTATTTATTTCTTCTGTTAATATGAATACCGTAACAAAAAGAATAGTATTTACGCAATTTCGGAANTAAGCTTATAATCTACACGACTTGAACTTCATTGAATCGTATGAACTATATTATAAAAATAATACAAATTTTAGGTTTTTATATTTTTAGATGAACTAATTTTTTTAAATGAACTAATTCTAGATTAACTAAAATAATTTTTTAATTGAAAAGAATAAAAGAAATGAGCAGGGCCATCGAGAGGGGAGAGATGGAGATTTTCCTCTGGTCTCGGGAAAAACTTAGAGATCCGTAGTGATTCCTACCTTTATAAATTAATGTTACTTTTAGTAAAAAAATAACGTCTTTAAAACTGATTTTTATTAATAAACATTCTACGCATTTCATTTGTTCAAAAATAAATAAATAAATAGAGCGGGCTTCATACAATTTTTCGACGGCTGGGCCTTGAAAATGGATACTAACTTATCTTTTATTATTACCTGAAAGACACTATTGTCTATTCAGATACAAGTTACAATATAAATGTACTGTACAATGCTGTAATAAAATTTCAAAAAAATAAACAAAAAATAACATTAATCATTATATATTTGAAGCAATTGTTAATCTTAAAATTAAAGCTTTAATCAACTTTTTATCGAAGTATTTATTCATAAATTTTTTTATCTTACTAAAAATCAGTCAATTTTATTTTCTGTTGAAAAATATCATCAAAATATTTTAATATAACAATTTGATATCAAGTATTCAAATTATTTTATATATTATTTCCTTAATTAATAGTGTTTAGGATGTAGTCTTTTACCTTGTATCTTAAATTTCAGCATAGTGATTGATGTCCATTGTTAATAAAATGTAATCTTAAAAATTTTACTTTTTGTCAGTAAAAATAATATTTATTCATAGGGCCTCATTACCACTGCAGGCCCCAGGGAAAAAATCCCTAACTCCATCCCTCTCGGCGGCTCTGGTTATCAAACATCTTTAAAGACGTATTTTGACACACCAAACGCCTTAAAACTTTGAAAAAAATGTTATATTCGTCTTTATTATCAGAACTAGAAATAGTATTTAATTTGCAGTATGAATTGAGATACCGTAATTACCATTTATTAGCTATAAGCTGATCATTATTAAATTTTAAAGCAGTCAAGTAGTCAGTTTTTAATTTCATTAAGCCTCTAACATTGTAAAAAGTGTTGTCATAGTTCTTTTAAATTGAGTTTTATTATGTGAAGAATTTTTCTAACGGATGTAATTTAATATCAATTATAGATAACTGTGAAACCTGCAATCTATTAAAATAAGAAAATTATATTTAAACCAACTTATATTTTATTCATAATTTATTTTATTTTAATTTATCTTAATATATAATTTTATTTTGAATCTGAAATAACTAAAGCTGGTATATCAAAAATAAGTCAAATCTACTTATCAAGTTTAAAGACAATGTTCAGTAGGCCTATTAAAAATTATTAAGTATTAATATTGTTTAATAGGTTATACATGCTTTAATTCAGTCAAAATTAAAGTGTTCTATCATAATAGAAGATGATTAAATCAAAACTTAATAAGTTTAGTAAATATCGAAAAGTTATTTATAATGAACCATTTCATAGGCTGCATACCCATGTAACTTATTGAACCATTGCATTTTAGTGAAAGTTTCAATTAATAACTTATAGATAAAATTCTGAACTTCATATTCAGTTTGTTTATTTGTGGAATAATATATGACGATCCAGAAAATATTACATATGCTTGGTGTTAATTTGAAAAATATGTAATTAAGTATGAATAAAGTCATACTTCATTACACAAAAGTAATACAGTATTTTCTTTTGTGTACTTGAAATATATGAAGCAGTTGAAATTATTAATAATAGACTAAAAGTTTTTATGTCCTAAATTTATGGAATAAATAGAATATGCAATAACCACAAAAAGATTATTTCCATTTATTTTAAGTTTTTATATGTACTAAATAATGATTATTTAGTGAAATAGGATAAAATGATTAATTAAACTTATATGCTGTTTATGAAGTTAATGTTGTTAGTATGAATCAAAGACATTATTTGGATGTTTAATATATAAGCTAATTAATTACCTTGTTTTCAGTTTTAATACAGATAAAGTTGTTAGTCCAAAATATCTCTAAAACTCCAATATTATAAGATTTAATTTAGGCAATTAGGCTTTTATTTGTAAATTAAAACCACAATTTTTACAGCATATTTATAACTATGTATATTGATTAAAATGCATTGTTAATTTATTAAATAAAGTAACTTTAATAAGATATTTTTAGTTTTATAAGCTTTTAAATTATAAAAATGGGCTTAAAAGATTTTTTAAAAAAACTGCATTTTTCTTTCACTTGGGTTTGTCTTAAGTAATTTAATAGACCCAGAATTAAATAATGTTAAAAAAATAAATTATTTTAAAAATTTTCGTAAAACATTTTCTAATCTTTTATTATTCTGTTACATCTATTAATTAAATATTTTATGCGAAAAACTAACGATCTGTATGTTTTATTTTGTAAAACAGGCTTTATCGAAAATTTTGTTTGTTCGAATTTTATTAGACATTTTTTAAAATTTATCTTAAATAAACAAAATATTCAATTTGACTTCCATATTTAGTCATAAAATATGAATATGAATGTCGTTAATAAAGAATAGATATAGGCCTGAATGTATTTAATGATAAGCATAACGTGTAGGCTAAACAGAAGGATGTTTAGGACTTTAAACAGATGTTTAAACAGAGGACTTTAGAAGTTAATAGCACTACTAATTTTTAAATGAATTATCTAGAATTAAAATAGAATTAAGTTATTTTTTTCCAAAAAATTATGCAATTGCAGTATATACAGGATATTAACTGAATTTGTTGTAAACTGATTACAGTATTTGCTTCAATCAACTAACATTCCTCGTGGCATTTATATTTTGTGAATATTAAAAAGATGTAAACAAACTAGCGACAAACGAGTTAAATATAAAAAACAGCCTAATTACATTAACCCTATAGGTTTATTTAAAGGCAATTTCGAATCCTAAACACGCATAAAATTAATTCCTTAAAATTCTTAAACAAGCTTAAATAGCCTGCGGTAAATGCGCTTAAACGTTAAAAAAAAGTAAACAAATTCATCTTCGTTTCAGAATGTTTAGTTTTAAAAAGAACAAACCGAGAAGCATGAAGATTAGTAGATAGTAAATGGATTTTGCGTAACAGTTTAACAGTAGTGAGACGGTTCACAGCACAAAGTTAAAGAAGAATAGTCTTCAGTAAAGCGATAGGTCTAGATAAAACAAGAAGTGTACAAGAACTTCATTGTGCAAACCTGTACCACGGCACATCACTCGTGATGAATTGATCCCACGTACAGAAGCTTATAAGTCTATGAAAAAAATTTCAATGTGTTAAGTTGTAAATACGAGTGTTATTATGACGTGCAAGAAATTATTTTTTATTCAGAATTTTTCTTAATATTTTTTAAATTTTTAAAATTTATGCTTAAACTGATGTGTGGATATTTGAAAATTCAAAATTTTGAACTCTGTCTTATTATTACTCCTCTTTTGCATATTTGGCAACATTTCAAGATTTAAAGAATTTCAAAGAAATTTTATAACGTTTGAAAGTCTAATAACTTATAAAATATAATTTCAAAATTTAAAAATAAGTTGTATCAAATGGATAAAATATAGTTAACGAACGAAAACCAAATTAGTTCGTAATTAAAATAACCATAAT